ACAAACAGAAACTACTTATGATGTCCAGCTTTCCAGCAAAAATTACTAAACATGCAAACAAAAAAACAAAACAAAAGGAGTGGGGGGAAAGGAACTGTAGTCACAAAAAGACAATCACAGAAACAAACTCCTAGTGGACCCTTATGTTGGATTTTGCCAAAAAAAAAAAAAAAAAAAAAAAAAAAAAGGCTTCAAAGTAGCTGTTTTAAAGGTATTCAAATACATAACTGGAATAAAAATTTAACTAGAGGGCCGGGCGCGGTGGCTCAAGCCTGTAATCCCAGCACTTTGGGAGGCCAAGGCGGGTGGATCACAAGGTCAAGAGATCAAGACCATCCTGGTCAACGTGGTGAAACCCCGTCTCTACTAAAACTACAAAAAATTAGCTGGGCATGGTGGCGCGTGTCTGTAGTCCCAGCTACTCAGGAGGCTGAGGCAGGAGAATTGCCTGAACCCAGGAGGCGGAGGTAGCGGTGAGCCGAGATCGCGCCATTGCACTCCAGCCTGGGTAACGAGTGAAACTCCGTCTCAAAAAACAAACAAACAAACAAAAAAAAAATTTAACTAGATAGGCTGGGACGATGGCTCATGTTCATAATCCCAGCATTTCTGGGAGGCTGAGGCAGGAAAATCACAAGGTCAGGAGTTCGAGAACAGTCTAGCGAACATGGTGAAATGCCGTCTCTACTAAAAATACAAAAAGTAGCCAGGCACAGTGGCAGGCACCTGTAATCCCAGCTACTCAGGAGGCTGAGGCAGGAGAATTGCCTGAACCCAGGAAGCAGAGGTTGCAGTGAACTGAGACCCTGCCATTGCACTCCAGCCTGAGTGACAGAGCAAGAAAAAAAAAGAAAAAAGAAATTTAACTAGATAAGCTCAATAGCAGAACAGAAATAGAGAAAGAATCACTATCTGTGTAAATCAATCAAGAGAAAATAAGTAACCTCAACAGAAAGAAAAATAATCATGAAACATGAATAGATTCACAAAGATCTGTGGGTCAATTTCAAAAGTCCAACATGAATATAATTAGAGTCCCAGAATGGGGAGAGAAAAAGAAATGGCATAAATAAATTTCATGGAAATAATGGCCTAACACATCCAAATTTGTCAAGAACTTACACCTTCAAAGAGCTTAATTAACCCTAAAGGGATAAACACCAAAGAAAACCACATTTAGCCAAATCCTAATTAAACTGCTAAACAGCCAAGAATTAATTCTACATGCAGCAAAACTATATATTCAAAATGAAGGCAACCTAAAGATATTTTCAGATAAAACCTAGAGAATTCATCGTCAGCAGGACTGCACCATCAAAAATGCTAATAGGCTGGGCATGGTGGCTTACATCTGTAATTCCAGCACTTTGGGAGGCTGAGGAAGGAGGACTGCTTGATATCCAGAAGTTTGAGATCAGCCTAGGCAACAAAGTGAGATCCCCATCTCTGGGAGGTGGGGGGTGAGGAAATTAATTCAGGCTAAGGTAAAAACAACACTAAGGTCTTTTAGGAAGGAATGAAGAAAATGAGAAAAATTGTAAGAGTATAAATATTCACTTCCTTTTCTCTTTACAAGATATGACTGTTTCAAGCAGCAATCAGGGAATGTCTTCTGCTATTTTAGCATGAAAGCAACCATGGATAATATGTAAACAAATGAGCAAAAATGTGTTTCAATAAAACTTAGTTATGGACACTAAAATTTAAACTTCATGAAGTTTTAGTGTGTCAGGAATATTTTTTTCTTGAAAATGTTGTCAAATGATTTAGGTGCAAAAATAATTCTTAGCTTACAATCTGTACAAAACAGGAAACAGGCTGGATTTGGCCTGTGGACTGTAGACCCTTGATTTAAAATAAATATCCTAATACCATTTATTACAAATATAAATATCACATACATGGCCAACAAAAAAGTAAAAGGCGGGTATTAGTAAATGAAACTACAATGTGGCAAGACTGATGTATTTTTACCATAACTAATTTAGTATCAACCCTAAGAAAATTCTGATTGACAATGCATACTGTAATCCTAGGGCAATCACACAAAAAATGCATATTTTTACCATAACTAATTTAGTATCAACCCTAAGAAAATTCTGATTAAGTTGACAATGAATACTGTAATCCTAGGGCAATCACACAAAAAATGCAAATGCATAACTAAAAAGCTAACAGAGGAATGAAAATGAATCATTAAAATGTATGTGACTAACACAAAATACAACAAAATGTAGGAGCAGATAGGCAAAAACAGGAGGAATTTAAAGCATATTACTAAGTGAAAGAAGCCACTCTGAAAAGGCTACATGGTATAGCCTTCCAGATTCTAACCATATGGCATTCTGGAAAAGGCAACATTTTGGAGAGTAAAAAGACCAGTGGTTTCCAGGGGGTAGCAGGGAGGGAGGGATGAACAGGCAGAGCAAAGAGGATTTTTAGGGCAATGAAACCATTTTGTAAGATAATATAATGGTGAATATACACCATTACATATTTGTCAAAACCTACTGACTATACAATATCAGTAGTGAAACCTAATGTAAACTATGAATTTTGGGTAAAAATAATGTGTTAATGTAGCTCCGGCGTTTGTACAAATGGACTGCTCTGGTCCCAGATGCTGATAGTGAGGGAGACTTGTGTGTGTGCAGGGAGTATATAGGAACTTTCTGTATTTTCTGTTCAGTTTTGAAATGAACTTAAAACTGCTCTAAAAAATAGTGTATTTAAAATGCAAAAACAGGCTGGGTGTGCTGGCTTCCTCCTGTAATTCTAGCACTTTGGGAGGCTGAGGCGGGTGGATGACCTGAGCCCAGGAGTTCCATACCAGCCTCAGCAACATAGTGAAATCCCACCCCTACCAAAAATACAAAAAGTTGAGTGTGGTGGTGTGTACCTGTAGCTCCAGCTACTAGGGAGGCTGAGGCAGGAGGATCACTTGAACCCAGGAGGCAGAGGTTGCAGTGAGCCAAGATAGCACCACTGCACTCCAGCCTGGGGACAGAATGAGACTCTGTCTCAAAATAAATAAATAAATAAATAAAAATAAAATTCAAAAACAAACAGGTTAGGCAATCATAAAACAAATAGCAAAAATGGCTACCCTAAATCCAGCCATACCTTTACTTGTATTCAATGTAAATGGACTAAACACTTCAATGAGACGGCAGAGATTATCAGAGTGTCTATGTAAGCAAGATTCAAATAGACTGGGTGTGGTGGCTCACACCTGTAATCCCAGCACTTTGGGAGGCCATAGCAGGCAGATCACTTGAGGTCAGGAGTTCAAGACCAGCCTGGCCAACATGGTGAAATGCCATCTCTACTAAAAATATAAAAATTGGGTGTAGTGATGCACGCCCATAGTCCCAGCTATTTGGGAGGGTGAGGCACAAGAATTGCTGCAACCAGAGAGGCAGAGGCTGCGGTGAGCCAGGATTGTGACACTGCACACTCCAGCTTGGACGACAGAAGGAAACTGTCTCCCCCCAACAAAAAAAATTTTTTTGAAGTAAAAAAAAAAAAAAAAAAATTAGCTAGGTATGGTGGCACATGCCTGTGGTCCTAGCTACTCAGGGAGGCTGAGATGGGAGGATTACTTGAGCCCAGGAGGTTGGGGCTCCAGTGAGGACTGATCACACCACTGCACTCCAGCCTGGGCAACAGAGTAACAGCCTGTCTCAAAAAAAAAAAAAAAAAAACCCTCAAATATATTCATTCTGTCTATGTGAAACTTACTAAAAAAAAAAAAAACAAAGACCCAAATAGGCTGAAAGTAAAAGGATGAAAAAAGATACAGAAACACTAACCACTAAAAAGATATACAAACACAAGCTGAAGTGGCTATGGAAATATCAGACAAAACAGATTTCAACTTGGGGAGCGTTACTACTAGAGACAAGAAGGATATTTCATAATAATAAAGAGTAAGTACATCTGGAAGATGTTACAATCATAAATGTATAGAGTTCCAAAATACATGAAGCAAAACTTGACAAAAGTAAAATGAGATTTTTAGAAGTCCAAAATCACGGTTGATGTTACTGTTTGTCAGCAACGGAAAGAACCAAACTAAAGGGGGTAAATCTATAAACAGCCAGAATATGTAAACAATACTATCAACCATCTAAACCCATCTGACATTTACAGAAAAGCACTTTCAGTAATTTTACAACAGATACTCTTCGCAAGAGCAAACAGACTACTCACCAAGTCAGAACCTAAACAAATCTCAACAGATTAAAGACAAATCCACATAGAATATGTTCTCTGACAACAGTGGAAACTAAATTAAATCTCAAAAAAAACAAGGTACCTAGATAAGCTCCAAAGGTCTGGAAACTAAACAATATACTTCTAAGTAACTATTAATAATTTTAGGTCAAAGAAAAATCAAAAAGGAAATTTTTGGAAAATATTTCCAACTAAATAAAAACATCAAAATTTGTAGATGCAAGCTCAGAGAGAAACTTACAAATTTAAATTTAACACAAAAAGTGTTTATCATAGAATTTTAAAAACACTGAATTTCATAAAATGAAAAACTTCAGCTCTAAAAAACACCATTAAGAAAATAAAAGAATCAAGTCACAGACTGAGAGAAGATATTCATGGTCTTTTTATATGACAAAACAATTGTACCCAGAAAATATGTGGAGCTATTAGAACTCTCACGCATTTGATCGCAGGAAAATAAAATGGCACAACTGCTTTGAGTTTGCAGTTTCTAATAGTTAAACATACACTTTCCGTATAACCCACAGAAGATTCCACACCTGGGTTTTACCCGAAAGAAATAAAGGTGACTAGATAAACAAATAGTAGTATATCCGTACAGTGGAAACATACTCAGCAATTCAAAGGGTGTACTGATACACAGAACAAATACGAATGACTTTCAAAAACATTACTTTGAGTTAAATAAGCCAACTTTCCCAAAAGCTACATATTCTTTTTTTTTTTTTTTTGAAAGGTCTCACATATTTATTATTACTGAACCCAGGCAACCAAAGCCTTCTTTTTTTTTTTTTTTTAACATGAATAATGGAAGCACTGTGGGTTGTACTAACTAATGCCTTCATAACAGATCCAGAGAGGAAATTGTTCAAACTTCTCCAGACAGTGGTGACATTTTTCAGCTTGATTTGGTAACACGATTGTGACCTTCAGACAGCATAAATATGTGTGCCATCACATGTGTAATTTCTTATAGACCCAGCTTGGTTCTTCTCCAATGTCTCCTTTTGGAGTTGTACCTGATTTTATTACCAGTTTTCATCCGAATCCACTGGGGAATGGGACGATTTTGCTTTTGTTTCTTGGCCAGGAATCGCTTAATCCTGAAAGTCTTGTGAGAAGACATGGCAAGAAACGGAGTAAAGCACACACCACAATGGCGGAAAAAGGAAGAAGCTACATATTCTTGATTCCACTTTTATGAAACTCCAGAAGAGGCAAAACTATAGTGACAGAGGCAGATACATGACCACTGAAGCTGGGGATGGCAGTGGAGCAACTAATTGTATGGAACATGAGGCAACTTCTGGAGTAATGAAATTCTGTAATATTGATTGTTGTGGTGAGTATGCAGAGCTATTTACTTCTGAGGTTCATGAACTATATGCTTAAAATGAGTATTTATTGTACATAAGTTATACCTCAATAAAGTTGATTAAAAATGCAAAGTCTGCTTTAGAAAGTAGCAGAGTAGCTCTTATTTGACTATGTTACTGAAAATAACAATGTTAATCCTGAATCCTGGATAAAATATAAAAACAACTTTGAAGGTACTGCAAAGTGTCCCCAATAGACAGACTGGAGGGAAGGGTCTATACTTGGAAAAACAGAAGAGCAATGGGACAATTAACAATTTAAACTACTTGTGGTTTGGGGGCAGGTCCCAAGTAGACACTATATGTGGCAAATAAAATTCAGGTGAAACCCATGGCCTTACTGACTTGAAGAAGCGAAGGCAACACCAGCTGGAAAGGGAGTAGAGAAATCCTATAAAACTGAATGTGGGAGTCAGAGAAAGGACACTAAATAAACTTTGTTAACATCTTTGGCTGATACCTAACTCAACTGGGCATGCATGGGTCAGAATCCAAGCAGTCTGGTAAAAAATAAAAGAAATAAAGTAGGGATTCAAGCTGCCACCAATCATAGAGAATTGTCTGAAGTTTGAGTTCCGTCAAGTGAAGTGCCCAATAAGACATATAGATATTTCTGACTTCCTTTCATGCCAGAAGAATTGCTATGAGAAATTCTCTCCTACCATGAACAACAAAAAAAAACTATAAAAATATATTAAACAACAGAAATATATTAATGCTTGTAGCATTGACCAGCTGACAGCACAGAATGGTGATCTCTGTGAGAGATAAACAAAGTAAGCCCTATAATTGTCCTAGCTTACTGCCTAAAAGCATTTTCTAGTATATCACACAGGGAAGGGGAACACAAGCAGCCCAGCAGTGTCCCTGAGTTGAACAAACAGGCCAGGGCAGTGGCTCACACCTGTAATCCCCGACCTTTGGGAGACCAATGTGGGTGGATCACTTGAGTCAAGGAGTTTGAGGCTGCAGTGATCTATGATCATGCACAGGTTTTTCTTTTTTGTTGTTTTGTTTTGTTTTTAGAGATGGAGTCTCAGTCTGTTGCACTCCAGCCTGGGCAACAGACTGAGACTCTATCTCTAAAAACAAAAAAACAAGAAACAGATCTGGGGAGTCCAAGATGGCTAAAACTGCTGGCAAAAAGCTGAAGAGGAAGAAGTAGCAAAGAGAGGAAAGGGGGAGGGGGAGGGGGAAGGGGAGGGGGGAAGAGAGGAGAGGAGAGAGGAGGGGAGAAGAGAGGGGAGAGGAGAGGAGAGAGGAGGGGAGGGAGGGAGGGAAACAGAGAAGAGAAAGGAGGGGAGGGAGGATAGGAGGGAGGGAGAGAGAGAAGAGAGGAGAGGGGGAGGGGGGGAGGGAGAGGGAGGGAGAGAGAATATTAGAGATAAAGATCAATTCAATCCAGATATCTGCAAAGTTTTCCCCCTGAATCCACAGATAAACACTGATCTGCAAGTATATGGGGGTAAAATTACATGAAGCTTGGGAAAGAATCGAGGAAAGTCAAACAGTCTTGGGAAGTTTGTGTTCCTATCAGCCAGAGCAGAAAGAATTCGTAATACACAAGTTCTAGGCAGAGCAGGGCTTGACAAACTTTTCCTGCAAAGGAGCAGATAGTAAATATTTCAGGCTTTCTGAGCCGAATGGTCTCTGTCACAACAACTCTGCAGCTGTAGTGTGAAAGCAGCTACAGACAGAATGTAAATGAATGAGTGTGATTGTGTTCCAATACTCACAAACCAGACAGCAAGCTGCATTTGGATTTCAGGCTATAGGTTGCTGACCTTAGGAACGGGACTAAATTAGCCCTAGACCAAATGCTGCTCTTGACCTACACTAACAAAAACTTAAAACCAAGGCTCAAAATGGTCTGAAGTAACTTAATTCTTTAATATAACAAAACAAAATCCAGCATTCAGCAATTTAAAATTCAAGTAAAAAAATTTCCAAGCATGCAAAATACAACTAATGTTCATAAGAAAAAAAAATGATCAAAAGAAACGGATTCAGAAATGAAACAGACCCAGAAGTGATGGATTTAACAAACGAGGATGGGCTGGGCACAGTGGTTCATGCCTGTAATTCCATCACTCTGGGAGGCCGAAGCAGAAGTATCACTAGAGCCCAAGAGTTTGAGACCAGCCTGGGCAACACGGCAAAACCGTTTCCACAAAAAATCTAAAAATTCACCGGGTACGGTGGCACACACCGGTAGTCCCACCTACACTGAAGGCTGAGGTCGGGGGTTGCTTGAGCCCAGGAGTTGGAGGCTGCAGTGAGCTGACTGCACCACTGTACTCCAGCTTGGGCAACAGACTGAAACCCTGTCTCAAACAAACAAACAAAAAACAAGGATGTTAAAATAGGATTACAAACATAATCCATAAACTCAAGAAGGTAGAAAAAAAGATAAACATCATGAGAGAAATGGAAGATATAAAAAGGATCAAATAAAATTTATAGAGAAGAAAAATACATGATATGAAAAACACAGCAGGTGGTAGTAAAAACAGATTACACACTGAAGAAGGAAAAGATCAGTGAACTTGAAGAGAAAGAAAGCAATATATACCATGCAAAATACTTTCACAATTGGCTGAGTTCCAATAAAACTCTACAAAACCAGGCACCATGCCTGACTTAGCTCAAATGCGATGGTTTGCCAACCTCTGGCCTAGAACCACTAAAAAACAAAACAAACAAGTATCTAAAGAGGTACTTCTAATAAGTGAATAATACAGAAAAAAATGAAATAAACAAATTTTCTCAATCTAAAAGAAAACTGGAAAAAATAGGAATGGCATATTTAAACCAAAAAATAGTTTAAATGGCATATTTAAACTCAACTATATTGATAATTACATTGAATGGATTAAAAACTCCATTAAAAGATAAGAGCATCACACTGGAGGAAAAAAGAAAAACAAAACCATATACTAGATGTGCCAGATTAACTATAAACATTAAAACACAGGTAAATAAAAGTAAAATGGATGGGCAAGGTGCAGTGGCTCACAACAATAATCCCAGCACTTTGGGAGGCCGAGCAGGAGGATCACTTGGACCCAGGAGTTCAAGACCAGCCTGGGCAACATAGTGAGAGCCCACCTCTACAAAAAATTTAAAAATTAGCCAGATGAGGTGGCACATGACTGTAGTCCTAGCTACTTAAAAGGCTAAGGTGGGAGGATTGCTGGATCCCAGGAGGTTGGAGCTGCAGTAAGCCATGATTGTACCACTGCACTCCAGCCTGGGTAACTGACAGAACAAGATCCTATCTCAAAAAACAAAAACAAAACAACAGTAAAAAGGGATGGAAATCAGTATATCATATACTATAGTTTTCGTTTTTGTTTTGAGATGAGTCCTGATCTGTTGCCCAGGATGGAGTTCAGTGGTGCAATGTCTGCTCACTGTAACCTCCACCTCCTGGGTTCAAGTGATTCTCCTGCCTCAGCCTCCTGAGCAGCTGGGACTACAGGCATGTGCCACCATGCCAGGCTAATTTTTTGTATTTTTAGTAGAGATAGAATTTCACTGTGTTAGCCAGGATGGTCTCAATCTCCTCACCTCGTGATCTACCTGCCTCAGCCTCCCAAAGTACTAGGATTGCAGGTGTGAGCCACTGTGCCCAGCCTCATATACTATAGTTTTAATGTGTCCCCTCCAAAATTCAGGTGTAGGCCAGGCACAGTGGCTCCCATCTGTAATCCTAGCACTTTGGGAGGCAGAGGCAAGAGGACTGCTTGAACCCCAAACCTCTGGACCAGCCCGGGCAACATGGCAAAATCCTGTCTCTATAAAAAAACAGAAAAATTAGCTGGGCATGGTGGCACATGCCTGTAGTATCAGCTACTTGGGAGGCTGAGAAGGGAGGATTGCCTGAGCACAGGATGTTGAGGCTGAAGTGAGCCACGATTGTGCTACTGAACTCCAGCCTGGGCAACTGAGCAAGACCCTATCTGAAAACAAAAACCAAACAACATTCAAGTGTTACCAATGTGATAGTATTCAGAGGTAAGACCTTTAATATGTGATTAGGTGAGTCATTAGGGTTCCTCCCTTTGTGAATGGGATTAAGGCCCTTGTAAAGTGGCTTCATGTACCACGGGGCTGGCCTGTCCTTCTGCCTTCTGCCATGTGAGGATACAGCCTCAAGCTGCCATCTTGGAAGCAGAGAGCAGACCTTACCAGACACACAAACCTGCCTGTATCTTCATCTTGGACCTCCCAGCCTTCAGAATTGTGAGAAAATTTATTTTTGTTCTTCATAAATTATCCAGTTTCAGGCATTCTGTTATAGCAGCACAAAGAACAAAGACACCATACAATCATAAGAAAGTTAGAATAGCTATAAAAATATTAACCAAAATAGATTTCAGGGCAATATTATTCAGAATATTATCAGGGATTGAGGCATTTCATAATAATAGAGCAGGGTGAATTCATGAGAGGACATAACAATCTGAAATACAAATGCATCTAAAAACAAAGCTTAGTCATAATAGAAGATTCCAACTTTCTTCCTTCAGTCATTACTGTTAACAGAGTGAAGAACAATAAGGATACAGAAAACTTTCAACACAATCAACCAATTTAATCTCACTGATATTTACAGGACATACCCAATAACATCAGAATATACACTCTTTACAAGGGCACAGAGAACACTGATCACATTAAACTGTAGTCTGTGCTATAAAAGAAGTCTCTATAAATTTAGGAAGACATCACATAGACTCTGTTTTCTGATTGCAACAGAATTAAACTAGAACCAGTTACAGGAAGCTATCTGG